AGTAAAGTCTGCTTGGGACACGGATACTAGTGTGATGAATAAGGCAAAAAGTGTGAAAGGAAATTAAATAGTCCTGTCTCCAAAAGAGAATTTGAACTGAGAGTGAATGGTGCTATACCTGCTTTATTAATTGAGCTCTGAAACTTAGAAAATAAAACAGAGTATGATCTAGAGACTTTATCATACTGCACAAAAGGAGGGGGAATTAAGGTTAAAGGGGGGAGTCTGAGGTTACACAGACAGACTTAATGTTACCTAACTTTGAGCGCGTGATCTAGCATCCCTAATAATGTTATTTTAACATATTTTTTAATGTGTAATTATTTATAAAGCTCCAGACAGTAGGTGTGCATGATGCTTTATAGGCATATAAAATTGTCTGATCCCTGCCCCTAGGAGCTTGCGTGATGACACCACACAAGGGATGGGAAAGGAGGGGGTATGGGAGGACAGAGTTGCAACACTGTGAGATCATGAGATGTACTTACTGCTACGTAAGCAACATTTCAGCTTCTCTGTGGTTTTCTTGTTACTCATTTAACACTATATATTAAAATTTGGTGAACAGATACATAGCACAAAGAAATCAACCGTAAGGAAGGATATGAAGAAAGAGAACTATGTAGTACAGTGTTCAGAGTCAGCAGTTAATATTAAAACATTCACAGCCAAACGGTGCATGCAGTCAATTATTTATATGGGGTTAGCCCTTGGCATCTCCAGATGAGGTCTGGATTCTGCTCCACCAGGCACTGTACAAACACATCATGAGATATGATAGCTGTGTTATGGTTTTTACTATAAAAAAACAGTCAGTGACTAAAGGGGATATCAGAGGCAGAGAGACAAAGGTTTAACAGGTTAGAGGCAGAACCAAGGGTAGAACTGGAGTGTTTTGACATTTGATTTGATATTCTACATGCTAATTAATGTGTGTATTTGGATAGGATTGCTTGAACAAGAATCCCAAAATAAAACAAAACAAAACAAAAAACAAAACAAAACAGAGTACACTTGCAAGTTGCTCCCATGCACTGCAAAACAAAACCATGGCCGAAAGACCCCAGCTTGGATGCCCTGGAACCCAGGACCTTCTTTTAGAAACTTCTGTTTCTGTGCTCTAGGAATTGAACGAGATTTAAGCTCTGCTGTGGTTGCAATTTATGTGTGTGCAAAGCCCACGGTACATGCCATTTCTGAGCCAGCCACACTATTACGCTGCTCTGTGCAGACAAACCTATTGCATCTTGAAGACTGTACCCTTAAATGCTCACAACTTTCCTGGACTTCAGCAGCAGATGAGGTGCAGACCCTGCTGTGATATTCTAAGGCTATCAGGCATTTCAGCTACACAGGGACCACCCAGGCCACCCAGTAAACAATTCCAGAAACTCTAAGAAAAGTGAATTTAAACCTAAACATACAATTAACCAAAGTAAGCAACATGGCAAAATACTTTTGATCTCTTAGACACGGGCTAAGCCTCCGGACCAAACCTCTGTAAGAACTGTGGACTTGATTCTGCTCTTCAGTGCAGTTCTTCACAGTGAATGTGCAAAATACCACTTGAGCTTCCCTTATAGCCCTTCACACTCTAAATAAAATTTGTTTCTACTTTAAGGGTACTTTTCATAGCCCTTAGAGTACAAAATGATTTTAGTACACAGCATTATAAATTTTTAGGAATTAGGTATTTCACTGGGTGAAAAGCCCAAGTTTTAGTCAGCTTTACAATTTGAAATGTCAAGTTAAATATTTCCATTATTCTTATTAACCTTTTATTCCCAAGCCTCAGCCAAATTAGTCACTAAATAAAATTTCTGGCTTCAGTGGAGCTCAGACTCAAGGAAGACTCTGATTCACTGCTGCTAACCACTGCTATTTTACAGTAGCAGCATGTTCTCCCAATTTGTTTCTTCTTATCGTCCTTTGAGAACTGAGATCTTCATACATGGACTAGAAGAAGATAGAAAGGAAGGAATAAACTCCATGTAAAATTTTCCTTTAAGTTTTGTAGCTTATGAAACATATTTAAAACTCTGTATAGCTTGGTATCAATTATTCACATGAACTGCACTTTAACTTGTTTAGGAATTTAGGAGGCTGGTTTGGTCCTGAAAGTAGTCCATTCATCACAAGACGTACATCCAATCTCAGAGCTCCCAACAGATTTTATTAGTGGGGTGGCAGCTGCTCTGACAGTGGAAGTTGAAACTGATGTTCCCCAAATTTGGCTGTACTCAAAACTGTACTCAGAATTGATTTACATCCCACTAAAACAAGAATTTCATACAAATAGGTTTAAAAAACCTCCTTATTTTTTTCATTCACTCTACACTTAGGAAGTGGCTTTTGAAAACTTAGCAAGTTGACCTCAAAAGGATTTAGACAAGCACAATTTTCAAAGCTGGTTTGTTTACAAACATAGGTTAGGAGTGGAATTGGATTTACCTTCAAATATTACTGGCACATTCAGAGCATAAAAGTTTAAAAATATTACCATCAGTATCGCTGCTGTGGCAATCTAAGTGGTTGCTGACATAAGATTAAAATAATTCACAAATGTTAAGTTTCTGCTATACTCTAAAGTTGATTTGAAGCAATTTTGCTGTCTCAGAGCCTACAAAAAAAATAGAATTTATAAAAAATAATTGAATTCCCCAAACAACAATAACTGTCTCCTATTTCAGTCTTTTTTAAATTATGGAAATATTAGATAAATACAGAATATTCAGCATGATAAAATCACAGAAAAGGTTACGTTGGAAGCCTAGCCCAACCTCCTGCTCCAAACAGGGCTAATTTCAAAGCCAGACCAGGCTGCCCAAGGCTTCGCACCCGGCTGAGTTCTGAGAAACTCTGGGCATACAGATTCCTCCACCTCTCCGGGCAACCTCTTCCACTGCTTAACTGCTCCTGCTTTGAGAAATTTCCTCCTCGTATTCTCTTTTTATTTCATCTACAGCAGCTGGTGACAGTTGCCTCTTGTCCTCCTCCTCCTTTTGTTTAGGGAAAGACAGCAATCGGGTCCCTCCTCACCCACTTTGCTTTTGCAAGGTGAACCCAGTTTTGCCTCCTCTCCCCTCATCCCTCACGTGCTCCCTGCCCTCTCAGTGGCTCTCCTCTGGACCCTCCCCAGTTCCCCAATCTCTCTCTTGAGTCGGGGGCCCGAGGCTGGGCACGGTGCTACAGCACCGGCCTCACTGCAGCCGAGCAGGGGGCAGTAATCACCTCCCTGACTGCGATGGGCTGTACGCCGACTATCCTCCCGGCTTCTACTCCTCTGGCGCAGCAAGACCCCGGAGCAGCAGCCCTGCCAGCCAGCACATGAAATGTCCCATTGCCTCTTCTAGCTGCACTCTTTCCAACTATTCCAAATGTTGCGTGTTTGTGTGGCAAAGGTAAATCTCAGTGCCATGTACAGAAGATACATCTTCAGCTGAAACGAAAGGTGGAGAGAATACTGATTTCCAAGAGGGAGTGTGCCACTTAATGCCATGTGGTCAATCTTTTCTTTGACTAAAAAACCAGAAAACGTCCAAAATATTTTTTGTTGATTAGTGTTGTTCTTACAGGGCTTTGTTTTGATGTCTTTGTTCAACACAATGGTAGCGCCTTCCTCCCTCACACAATGTGTGTGTGTGTATTCCTAACCCATTTAGATCCTGCATTTTGAGGAAAGTTGGTATTGCTTAGTTATCTTACAATGATTAATCTAAGTCTACTGAAATTAATGGGTTGCTTTTGTGGATCAGGTCTGGAATGTTAACTGCAGTTACTATACTAGCGTATCTAATCCTCCAAACAGAGACTGTATCAGGACCTAAGAAACTGTAAAAGGACAAATCATTATAAAAATGTATTGTTGAGCAAGTATCTAAGTGAGGTTTGACCTTGTACCTGTTGACACTGATGGATAAAGAAAAGCCCTGAGATCATTCCAATAGGTTAAATACTGACTTTGGCTGACTTTATCCCTAATTTATCGCCCAGTGCATGATCCAAGATGAAGCTCTCCCTCAGAAATTAGTGGAAGGAAATAACTAGGTCATGATACATGCTCTTATGAAGGGGCTACAGATTAGCAGCTGAATGGAGAGAGACCAGAAAGCATAGACTTTATATCAACTGAGAATTCAGAGGAATTTCTGGCCCCTGTCCCATGACTCTGTAGCATCACACAGAGCGGATCCCTGTCAGTATTACCAGGCCACCCTCCTTGCTGGAGGCACAGCTTCCTATTTGGCCAGCTTGTATTTGCAAAGTCCTATAAATTTTGGGTTCCCTTTGCAGCCCTGACACCAACTATGTGAGTTTTGGCAAACAAACAGCGTCAGAGTCACTTGTGCTTGAAGGCAGTTTCTAGTTAAATTCCAGGTTCTCGTATTTTCTTGCAAAAACTGGAAGAAAATGTTTGTTTATGCAAAAAAGGAAAAAAGAAAAAAAAAAAGGAAATATGTTGAAAAAAACCCCCTCCAAGGTATAACGCCAGTGGAGGTTAGCATTAGGTGAACATATATATGCATGCACACACCCACAAACCAATCCCCAAAGTTCACTGAATACAATGCCTTTCCACCTGGCTTTCGGTGGTTTGAATTCTTCCATTTTATGGATTTTCCATCTTATGATCTGCATGCCATTTTTCTAGATCAATATACAGTAACATTTTAAGCACTTCATATGCTATCAGAACTACAAAATAAACCAAACTGTAACAAAATAATTTCAGATTTTTTTGAGAAGCCAGCTCCAGAGGGCAGCGGTCTTCTGCAAGAAATGTAACTGCAAGTTCAAACAGAAAAGTGACCTTTGCCTGTTGCTACAAGTATGTCACTGGAGGGGATTTGGCAGTGAGCTTTTCACTGGGAGGAGTCACTTGGCATTGGTACTGGTTTATGAAAGAGCAAGAGAAAGTTGAAGTTGGTTTTCTTAAATGATTCCTGACAAGGAGGACAAGCAAGATATTTTCCAAGAGCTGGTTGCAAATAAATTTTTACCTCTGTGGAGCACTGTCTGATCCCACACTGTTGCAGTAGGTGTTCCTTAGAGGGCACGTCTCCGTGCCATACATCGCATCCGCCTCAGCTGGGTCCATGTAGCCATTGACAAGCTTGATGTCTCTCAACTTCATACAGTCATTTTGTGAATCCAAAGACACAATGTCAGACGGAGAGCTCACAACACCCGAGTCTTCTGTGGTGTCCTCAGATGCAAAACAGCTGCTTTCTGATGCCGTTTCTTCCACCTCTGATAGCTCCAGCACTGCGTCATCCACTACATAAACATTATGTGCAGGCAGCAGGCTCTCTAAATGAAATATAGCAAGGAAAGTTAGCTGAAAGTCATCAGTACATAAATCACAGAGACTTATTCCTCTGTAATTGGAAAAAACACGTGAAATGCATTAGGAATAGTAGGATGGAGCTCAATATTTGTATATAGGATAAAGATGATTTTAAAGTGACAAAAATTATGCCCTTTGCTTTTAGAAAGGTTATTGGATATGCCTATCCTGCAGAGTTTGGGTTTTATAACTCTCATAGCAAATCTGTTTCCTTACTTCTATGAAGAAACAACTTTCCAAGGACGGTTTCTTGGGGAATTAGACTAAAGTTTAAATGATGTCGTGCAAGAAACCACTCCTGTTCTTGCTTCTGACAACACAATCTCATTACTCCTCTTCCATGCTGCCCAACAGATCATGACATTTCCAATAAGAAGTCTATACACAAGTAAAAATAGGCAGTATTTCTGAGTCAGGACACTGAACTGTTAAACTAGATCTACTGCCAGCCCACTGGGTGTCATTTTATTTTACCACCTATCAATTTCCTATGCGTTAAGTGGGAGAATAACGATCATCTCCTTTTCAAAACATACAAAATCTACTAATAAGCATACAGAAAAGTAGATGCTACCATGATTGAAGCAGAACCTTTCCAACATTTAGTCATCTATAAAGGAGATGAAGGGATATGCCCTTTGCATGTTTAACTCTATTAAAAGTTGCAAATTTTGAGAGATTAGACACAGTACAATTTTTCATACTCTGTTTTAGTTTGGTTCCTTTGGGCTACTTGGGTTTTCTTTTTTGTTAAAAATACAACTTTGTTATTTCCTTTAAGAAATGTACAACTGTAGACTCCATCTTGCAATTATGCCATTACAGGGGAACTCCCAACAAGGTCAATAATTTCAACAACTAAAATTATTGAGCGCCTAAAGACAGAATCAAGCCCAAACACACTCCTTTTGATCAAAATGAATCAATAAAGACTAATCTAAATGTTTAATTTGGAATTATAAGTGTGTTCCATTCTCTTCTTCAACCTCAGTAAGCAAAAGGAAGATTAAACAATAGTTTATGGTCTGATCCTGCAGACATTTGTAGTGCATGTTAATTATATGAGAAGTCCCAGGTCTACAGGTGTGACTAAGACTAAACATACACTTCCCTGTTTTTTAGGGTCAGAATCTACAACTTTTGGAAGCACAGATGGAGCTACACCTCAATAAAAATGATCAACAGAGAGAAATGAAATACTTCTGCATTATGTTGTATACACAGAAGCACTTTCTTTTAGTCAGAGAACCGAAAACAACTTTGTCAAAAACTGTCATAGAAATAATTCTGTAAGCGTGTAGCTTAGCAATGAATTCCTGAGTAAAACTAAAATAAAAATCAAACTAACATTCTCCTTGACTGAGGTTATAAGATGCCATTAACTACTGAAATTGATTTCTGACAGCAGAAGCGATAAAATTCTGAGGGTTACAAATCATGATTAAAGTTGTAAGTGCTGTCAAGCACCAATATTAATGATGGAAGATGACCCAAAGACTCTATTGTGACTTTGGAAGTAATGTTACTTGATTTCTTTGACCTTATTTTCTATAACATTAGCTCTAGGTTCCAGATTTAATCCAAGAGATCATTCCATCTAAAAATAGCAATTACAGGAACTAACTATGTGTCACTAAATGGATTAGAGTATGCTCATGACAGGACTACAGTTAGGAAAACACCAGCATCAGGGAGAAATATGAAAATTTGACATTAAACACCAAATAGTAAAACCCCACAAAAACAGACAGCAAATGAACAGGGAAGAGTATATGGCCTGCTTGGCTTTCAAACAAACAAAAAACCCCAGCAATAACTCACCACCAAAGCATTAGTACAAGCTCCAGTATGTTAAAAACGGAACAAAGTAGGATAGCAAAGAAATCAATTTGAAGAGTGGAAGTTGAAGAATAGAATCACATGGGAAGACTTTGAAGTAATGCACAATGCAGTATACCTTGATGCAAAGAGACCTCTACATAACACAGGCCACATCTGTTGTCACCAGGATGTCATAAATGACCTGTACCCTATAGCTGGTGCAGCGATTGGTAACAGAGTACCTCCTTCCAGCTCCTGACGTGAGGATGGCAGGCTTTTCCTCCCTAGCTGTCTCTCCTTTCCTCATCATCTTGCCTGCCTGCAACTATTTCCTGCATTTTTCTGCTCAGGGATTTAGACCCTGCTGGTCACACAGCCCTACTTCCCCACCAACACTCCAGTCTCTCCCTGGTGTGATTCAGCAAGCTGCTCTGTGCCAAGATCTCCATCCCCCAGCCCCACTCTTCCCACATATTAACAAAACGAAAACCAATTCTCTTATTATCAGGGTACACATGCGAATCAACCCCTATCTCTTCTGTCTGGGTCTTGGCAGCTGAATCATCCAGTCCAGTGTAAGAACCCCCTCATTCAACGGCACTTTTATTCTGAAGCATGGAACTACAGAAAGACATCTTTCTATTCAACGATTAAGTTCCCCGTGCTCAAGCAAAACCAAAATGTCCCCCTTTCTGCTATCAGTTTGTCAAAGCGCTTCCCTAATCTTTTATCTTCACTGAGAAGATCCATTAATTTCCAACACAGCCAACACATGGCACTGAACAGAGTTGCTGGCTGCGGCAAACTGTTTTGGTTGCTACTACTACTCACCTGAACATGAAAGCGTACACATAAAACATGACTTCTATGGTTCACAACCTTGTTTCAGCTAAGAGCAGCACTAAACCACCCCTGTTTTAAAGCTAAGCCATCCTTGGATGGATTAAGTAAGAACCTATTCTTCCTTCTACACGCTTGATTAAGTGTCCACTGGTGCAAACTGAAGATGGATGGGCATTAGTGGGTAATGCTACATGACATGAAAAAAAGCCTACTTCAACTTTACTGAGTGGTCCTGAGTCCAGGAGTCAGAAAACATCTTTTAAAACTTACCAATTCTATACAGACAACTGAGTAGCTTGCAGTAGTAGATGTGATTCTGCCTTGTGATTTTTGCCTACTTTTTCTCAGCCGGAGTGCACATGCAGAGAACAACCACACAATAAGCACAGTGTGATCACAATGATGGCAGTCACTCAGATTATTTTTTGGTCGAATAAAGAAAAATCTCTACATTTATTTCTCTCTTCTCTGTCACGATGCTAAGAAGATTTCAATATAGGCTCTGATCTTCAAGACCTCATGTAGACACACCCAGGTTAAGGCAGAAAATGCAGCAAACACTTCAGGATTGGACACACAAATAATTGCCACAGATAATACATTACTGAAACACTGCTGTATCTCAGAAGACCGTCTGCATTTCCAAATATGTAATGACACCAAGATCTTTTTTTTTTTCAGTAACATGTGACCCCATTCACTGGTCTCAGGTGGGGTGTGATATCGAAAGGGGCGTAGAACTTGGCCCACGGCCTCCAAGTCGTATGGAAATTTCCGTGGGACATCTCACTCCCAAGTGAAACTCGAGAGTGTCCCTCCATGCCCTGCAGTGCTGTTTACCTGCGCCCGGCTCCAGGCTGCAGCCTGGGCAAAGCCCAACAGAGTGCCCCACCGGGGATCTCCCCGGTTTAGCAGCAGCAGCGCTGCCGCTGCGCAAAGAGGTCAACCCCGAGACACGAACGTTTTCTTGTGGGGGGCGAGGGCGGACGGGACGGGGACCTGGACAGGACTGGGATGCCTGTTTGCAAGAATGTTTCTCATGATCCTCGAGAGGGGAAGAGGGGAGTAGCTCATCAGTAAAGAATGTGAGCTTCTTGTTTAACACAAAAGAGATCTTGTCGCTTTCATCTCAATAGGCTGTAAGCAATTAGGAAAACACTGAACTCGGAGTTTAGAGGAGTCGTATCTGAACTCGTGCAGCTTGATATCACGTATATGTACACATTACTCATACAGAATGCCAATGATGGGGAGACAGATAAACCTCGCCTGGTTTAAATGCTAATCAGCACTTTCAGAAATGAAGATTTAATTCAACAGGTGAATACTACCATGGGCAAAACACTTTGATTACTGCTATGAAAATAACCACCACTGACTTTGAATGAGATTAGTATCGGAGTTAAGTGTTCAAAAGACGCATATCCTACCCAGACTTAGAAAATCAGTCACCAAAGTCCAATCCATCACTCCCTCTGAGTCCAATGTGCACAGGGCATAAGTCTTATCAGACTGTAACTGTTAACTAAGTGCTGTGACCTTCTGGTTTTACAGCACTGATGGTGGTTTACTGTCACATTCAATAATGACAGAAACAGTATATCCAACAGCATTTTAAGAGAGGTAACACTTGATTTAACCCCTATATGGTGAATAACCTGAACTTTGTAATTGTTTTAGAGATGCAGAGTTCCTCTAATTCCTCTAAGTTCTTGATAAGAGGTTGGTAATTATTTTCCAATTTCTTTCACCACTTGTTCCACTGCCAAAAAACTTTATTTTCATGGACTAAAATTCCTTTGTTGTAGTTCAAAGGGTCTATTACAACAAAGTTGTAAAAAATATTACAAACTTATTGATGTTAAAGAATATTGATTCTTTTAACGATCTCCAAATTACAGCATTACTATTTCACTGAGAGTACTTAAAACTGCTAACAAGAGAAAGAAACACTGCCCTAATTACTTGTACTGGCAGTAAAAATTTAGACCATCACTAAAGACCAGTATTAAAAAAAGTGTATGTTTTTTCATACACTTGGAAGAAGGTTGGTGGGAGAAATGGGAAAAGAAAATATTTATTATGGCAATGTTTAACAGAGATTATGAAAATAGACAACACAGCGTTGGCTTAAGAGTTTTCACACAGGTACAATGTGTTCTGGTTACATTCTACTTGTTTTGCTCATCAATCAAAAACTTGTACATAGAGATAGGTGTGAAAAACCATTCAGTGAGCAGTTAAAGCACAAGACAAAATTGGCGGACCTCTCTCTATTTATCACAACTAAGACTGTTTT